ATTTCTGGTGTCCCCCACCGTGATATTGCTGGAATATTGCTAAAAGCTGCGTAAAACCAAACTCATTAACTCACTCACTCATTGTCACGACTCTCGACTGTTTGCTGGACGGGTTAGTGATGACTGTGACATAAACTCATTCACTCATGTATTTCTTTTCATCGAACATATGTGATTACATGTGTCGGGTTCAAGTTACCTTGTCTCTCTGGTTCAAACTCCCCAAATAGGGAAAGGGGACTGGAAAACAATAATTTTGCCTCAGGTTTTATAAATAGTTCGCTGGAGAAGTTGACTTTCCTGAAATGTGTTGTGTAAATGGTGTTTGTCTTAAGACAATATTCTGTCTCTATGTCCGACGTGCGTCTTGCGTCATGCGTCGTGAGCATCTTCTCTTCAGAAACCACTGGACAAATACAAATAATCTTAATAAACGACGATATTTGCTAAAGAAAGAAATGTATTTAAGAGAATTAAGAGCATAGTCCAAAAGCACAGATAGAAATACGGTCAATATTCAAAATATCGAAAACCAACGGAGCTTATTTGTTGAGATTCACTACCAACTACATAAATACCCAATTTCATTACATTTTGGACACAAATGGCCGACTAATGGCCATAAGAAGTTTCAGATTTCAGTATGATTGAAGTGTAAAGGTCAAAGCAAGGTCAAAATTTAAAATATCCCAAAGAACATGCATGAAGAGCTCCACAACTAAGTACTATCGTATCAAATTTCATTACATTTTGAACATACTTTGAAAGAGTAACGGCCATTAATAACGCTTTCAATATGGCTAGCATGGCGGCCATATTGAAAATCAGACTCGAACTTCTTGAGCAAATTTACGTGTCTTCTGTGGTGGGAACAAGCATGTGGAGTCTCGGCTTCATTTGTCAAGTGGTTTCTGATGATATATTTAAGGAGAATAATGTAGTATCATATATTTTCCATTATGGTAGCTGGCGGCCATTTTTAATTTCTGATCAAGATGGGAGGCACGGGTGGCCCAGTCGTCTAAGGCGCCGCGATTCGCTGTGCAGAGTTGCGTCCCTTGGGCACGTCAGAAACCTATTATTGTGGGTTCGAATCCCGGTTCGCCCCGATTATGTTTCTAGGTTTGTCAGCACCATACCCGTGTTCGTGGGTTTCACCGAAGTGGTAAACGTCTGAGACCAGCATCACTTCGGGCTTTCCTCCCACATTAAGCTGACACGCTGTGATATAAATGGTATACTGTTAAAAGCGGCGTTAAACCCAACTCACTCACTCACTCACTGATCAAGATGTCTCGAATAAGCTAGGAACAACGTATGGTGACCATCTCACCCACCTCGTTTCAGACGAGTGGCTCTTTAACGTGTGGAGAATATTGTTTAATCGTTTGTTTTCTTGTTAATCAAACTCCGTCACCTGGAGGTAACATTCAAATCCAATGTTGATGCCTAGAAAAACTTGAACCCTCTTATAACAAACCCCCACACAAAATTTAAACTGAACCCGTCAAGCCATTTCGGAGAAGTATCTGTTTTCTTTTCCCATGCTTACATCAAACCTAATGTCTGGAACAGACTCCACACTTCATTAAATCTTTAATGTCGACCAAAGTTCCTTCGGGTTGAATCTCGGGTTTTGACGTCAATGCACCATGGGATCCACTACAACTGAAGACTATCAGGTGCTTCCAATAGTCTAATGGTTATCATGATCAATACGACCGAAGCATTTTGTATACCTAATTGCTATGGCGCCTTGTCATCTCTGAAGTACGTTAAACCTTATCAAATCGATCAAACATTGATTCCAGTTAATTATTCATTTGTATCCAGTTATATAAACGCAATGAATTTCAACACCGTAAAGACACGGGTTAGAATTAGTCTTAAGGAACCCATGCTTGACGTTAGAGGCGTCATATAGCTGGAATATTGGTGAGTTAAATAACAAACAAACTAAAAAATATTAATATGAAACTGGACCAGGCAAATAGATCGGATAGTTAATTATCCTCGGTTCGTCATGCTACAAAGCACCTTACCTTCTTGGTTTGTTTGTTTGTTTGTTGTTTAACGCCACACTCAGCGATATTACAGCTATATGACGGCGGTCTGTAAAATAATCGAGTCTGGACCAGACAATCCAGTGATTGACATCATGAGCATCGATCCACGTAATTGGGATCGATGACATGCATCAACCAAGTTAGCGAGCCTGACCACCCGATCCCGTTAGTCGCCTTTTACGACAAGCATAGTCGCCTTTTGCGGCAAGCATGGGTTGCTGAAGGCCTATTCTTCACGGGTCTACCTTCTTGGTAGTGGAGCCATGATGGTGTGGGTGGGTTTCACCGAAGTGGTAAACGTCTGAGACCTGCATCACTTAGGGCTTTCTTCACACATTAAGCTGATACGCCGTGATATAACTAAAATAATGTTAAAGCGGCGTTAAACCAAACTCACTCACTCACTCACTCATGATGGTGTGGAGCGTTTCTCGGGTTTCAGTCGCTCCTTTCTTTGGTGCCGGCTGTAATAGTTACAAGCCGGTGTGTTATGCCTGGAACAGCACTGACTGCGGCGTTAGACATCATTCACTGAATCTTTCACAAGCTAAGATGGCAAAACTCGCTGTCAAATATTATTTTAAAAACGACAAACGGTATATGTGCATTGGCTTTTTTATGCGAAGACAATAAAACAAATATGGTCGTTTATGCGGCTGACGTTTGAAAGCGTTCTTTTAATTTAGAGTTCAGCACAATGCATGGATTGTTAGCTGGGATAAATGAACTTACTTTGAAAGACGGAAAATATCGGTCAAGGGCACTAAACAAAGGTAGTAGGCTTTCAAAAAATGGTGTTTTACGTAGAGAAAGATTCTTATGGAGCACTTCCATGTCTAAAACATTACCCTCAGACCAACATTTCAATAGTGAGTAAAGTGAGAGAGTGAGTGAGTTTGGTTTAACGCAGCTTTTAACAGTATTCCAGTTATATCACGGCGTGTCAGCTTAATGTGGGAGGAAAGCCCGAAGTGATGCAGGTCTCAGACATTTACCACTTCGGTGAAACCAACGAGCACGGGTATGGTGCTGACAAACCTAGAAACATAATCGGGGTGAACCGGGATTCAAACCAACAATCATAGGTTTCAGGCGTGCCCAAGGGGCGTAACTCTGCACAGAGAATCGCGTCGCCTTAGACGACTGGGCCACCCTAGCCCCCCATTTCAACAGGAACGATTTTATAAAAGGACTAACTGCGGAGTTTGACGTTTTGACGGAACGTGTCAAGGGAATAACTGAACCGTACCGACCTGTTTCAGTATTTTTAAGACCCGTGAAGATCCGGGGTAGAATAGGTCTTCAGCAACCCATGCTTGCCCTAAAAGGCGACTATGCTTGTCGTAAAAGGCGACTAACGGGATCGTGTGGTCAGGTCATCAGTCCCAATTGCGTGGATCGATGCTCATGATATTAATCACTGGATTGTCTGGTCCAGACTCGATTATTTTACAGACCGCCGTCATATAGCTGTAATATTGCTGAGTGCGGCAGTCAATAGTATTCAGTCAATAGCTTTCTCTTTGTTTTGATTTGTTTGTTTGTTTATTGTTTAACGCCGCACTCAGCAATATTCCAGCTATATGACGGCAGTCTGTAAAATAATCGAGTCTGGACCAGACAATCCAGTGATTGATATCATGAGCATCGATCCACGCAATTGGGATGGATGACCTGCATCAACCAGCGCGCGAGCCTGACCACCCGATCCCGTTAGTCGCTTCTTACGACAAGCCTAGTCGCCTTTTACTGCAAGCATGGGTTGCTTAAGACCTATTCTACCCCGGATCTTCACGGGCCTTGTTTTGATTTGCTGTAAATGTTATTCATTTCGAAATATCTTAACGAAAATGAGTACATTGTACATTACGATTGTCGAAACCGTCATCGTTACTAAATAGTGTTTGAATCACATATAAAATCGTTCTCCAGTCATTTGTCAGTTGATGTTTTTCGTAAAATACAGCTTGGTAAGATTTGTTTGTTATTTAACGCCGCACTCAGAAATGATCTAGATATATGACGTCTCTCTGCAAATATCTACGCAATTGGGATACGATAACATGCACCAACTTAGTCATCGAGCTTGACCACTCTATACCATTAGTCGCCGCTTACAATAAGTATAAATTTTTAATTTTGTTGTTGTTGTTGTTGTTGTTGTTGTTGTTGTTTTTAACGTCGCACTCAGCAGTATTCCAGCTATATGACAGCGGTCTGTAAATAATCGAGTCTGGATCTGGACCAGACAATCCAGTGATTGTCATGATCATCGATCTACGCACTTGGGATACGATGACATGTATCAATCAAGTCAGCGAGCCTGACCACCCGATCCCGTTAGTCGCCTCTTACGACAAGCACAGTCGACTTTTACAGCAAGCATGGGTTCTATTCTACTCCGGTTCTTCACGTGTCTCAAGCATATTGATTTTTACGAGGCGTTGTCGTGTGATACAATGCTAGTTTGACCACAACTCTGTGATTCTGTACTAGTTGCCTTACTGACCTGCTTGCAGATTTTTATGTAGCTTTCTCGTCGCTGTATAGATGATAGGTTGCTGATGCAAGTAAACCCACTTATTCTTTATTTGACCAAGTGTTCGGGACATGGGACTGGAAACAATATTTTTACATTTCAAATTTTCAAATCGGGGGAGAGAGAGTTGGGTTTCAACAGTATTTCAGTCACATGACAACTCGCGGTTAATATGGAAGGGAAGACACATGGGGTGCAGGCGGTTTATCGATTTGAATCAACCAATGAACACCCTGCAGGCAATGCCATGGTGCTGCGAACCAAGAATCCCAGTCAGTGGGGATCTGGGGTCATCAGATCCTGGTACAAGCAAGGGACGCAACTTTTCATTGTCAGGCTTCCGTGCCCCGTATGTTATATTTCAGTTGCAATAACGGAAGGAAGGTTTCTCATTGATGTCAATAGTCACCTACATCAACCTCCACACCCCTCACCCAACCTCCCCAACCTCTACACCCACCCCTTCCCCTCCCCAGCCTCCACATCCCTCACCCAACCTCCCCAAAACCCACACCCCTCTCTACCACCACCCCCTTACCTACACACCTCTCTCTCTACCACCCTACCCCAACCTCCCCAAAACCCACACCCCTCTCTCTACCACCCTCCCCCAGCCTCCACACCCTTCCCTCTACCACCACCCCCAACCCCGAAACCCCTCCCTGTACCACCCTCCCCCAACTCCCACACCCCTCCCTCTATCACCCTTCCCCAGCCTCCACGATCCTTCCTCTACCACCTCCCCCAACATCCACACCCCTCCCTCTACCACCTCCCCCAACCTCCACATCCCTCCCTCTACCACCCTCCCCCAAACTCCACACCCCACCCTCTACCACCCTCCCCCAACCCCCACACCCCTCCCTCTACCACCCTCCCCCAACCCCCACACCCCTCCTTCTACCACCCTCCCCCAACCTCCACACCCCTCCCTCTACCAGCCCTCCCCCAACCTCCACGATCCTCCCTCTACCACCCTCCCCCAACCTCCACACCCCTCCCTCTACCACCCTCCCCCAACCTCCACACCCCTCCCTCTACCACCCTCCCCCAACCTCCACACCCCTCCCTCTACCACCCTCCCCCAACCTCCACACCCCTCCCTCTACCACCTCCCCCAACCTCCACATCCCTCTCTCTACAACCCTCCCCAAACCTCCACACCCCTCCCTCTACCACCCTCCCCCAACCTCCACACCCCTCTCTCTACCACCCTCCCCCAACCTCCACACCCCTCCCTCTACCACCTTCCCCCAACCTCCACACCCCTCCCTCTACCACCCTCCCCCAACCTCCACACCCCTCCCTCTACCACCCTCCCCAACCTCCACACCCCTCCCTCTACCACCCTCCCCAAACCTCGACACCCTTCCTTCTACCACCCTCCCCCAACCTCCACACCCCTCTCTCTACCACCCTCCCCCAACCTCCACACCCCTCTCTCTACCACCCTCCCCAAACCTCCACACCCCTCCCTCTACCACCCTCCCCTAACCTCCACACCCCTCCCTCTACCACCCTCCCCAAACCTCCACACCCCTCCCTCTACCACCCTCCCCAACCTCCACACCCCTCCCTCTACCACCCTCCCCAAACCTCGACACCCTTCCTTCTTCCACCCTCCCCCAACCTCCACACCCTTCCTTCTACCACCCTCCCCAAACCTCGACACCCTTCCCTCTACCACCCTCCCCCAACCTCCACACCCTTCCTTCTACCACCCTCCCCCAACCTCCACACCCCTCCCTCTACCACCATCCCCAAACCTCCACACCCCTCCCTCTACCACCCTCCCCAAACCTCCATACCCCTCCCTCTACCACCTCCCCAAACCTCCACACCCCTCCCTCTACCACCCTGCCCAAACCTCCTCACCCCTCCCTCTACCAACCCCTGTCCCGCTCTCCCCCACCCTTCGTTCCCCTCCTCATGTCGCCGACTTCACATCACCGACTGCGACAACACGTCAGAACGTGTATAATGAATTTAATGAGAAATACGCCCGGTGAAATTAGCACCGTGCCATCAAGCAACACGCAATTACTTCCCTGTCAATCAATGAACCAGGCGTTTGCTTACCCGGCGTTGTAAATTAGTATCCCGCAAGCTCCAACTGTACGGCTATCGTTTTCATCGATCACAGCTATTAGAAACCCCCCTGGCTGTCATACCACACCGTATAATAAACCCCACACAGATTTGTTAGAAAACATTTAGCTGTCCGCAAACAAAAACATTCCTCTAAACCCGTCGCAGTAATCCAGATTCCATAGCCCCAGTTCATTTCTCTTTACCGATCTATATACATAAACTGCTTCATTCTTTACAGCCGATCTTTCTCAGGGGATTTGGGTATTGAAATACTAGACTCCCTACTCTCACCCCCGGCGCGTCGTGGACGGGTTGAGCTGTACAGCGAGGAGGGACAGAACGGAGACTGTTGACACACACTGGATCGGAGGCACTGTTACCTGTACGTCGGCGACTTTGATCTCAGACCAGGTGGAACGCCTTTTCATGGTTCTTGCAACAGAGTTTGGTTGTGATTATACAAAGGTAAGATTTGAATTACATGCATGTGATTGTCTGAGACTGGAACATTTAACGGGTTTATAAAACATGTTCATGTATAAATGTAATTGTATATTTGGTACATGTTTCGTATTCTAAGCACAGTAAGTGTGAATCGAAACAAGATGTGTTACTGTCCAGCTCGCCATCTAGGACACCGTACGGTGTTGTCAGTCATGAATGTTTTAGCTCGCAAACAAATAAAATGGGCATCCTTTTGTCGGCGACAAAGTGTGACTTCAATAGCTTTCATCTCGAATATCGCGAAAATTGACCATTGAATAAACTACCGTTATTATAAGGGTTAAAGTTCATATCACTGGTTAATTCTGGTTAACGCGAAGTAACGTTAAAGACTCGTTATAACTGTACCGCTAACTCCTAAGATATGAAAGGATTAAGCGGAGTCGCGAAGATTGTCTCTCTCTCTTTGTCGCAAAAGTGGCCACGAGAGGGGCACGAGTCGCTATTCGGTTTTTCCCGGAATTACACGAGTTGATCACGAATGTGTGTGTTTGTGTGTGTGTGAGTGAAAATTAAACGTCGCATCGGCATTGTTTCAGCCATATCGCGACGAGGTGTGTGTATGTGTCTGTGTGTTTTGTTTGTTTTTGGTTTGGTTTGGTTTGGTTTGGTTTGGTGTGTGTGTGTGTGTGTGTGTGTGTGTGTGTGTGTGTGTGTGTGTGTGTGTGTGTGTGTGTGTGTGTGTGTGTGTGTGTGTCTGAAAAGGTAATCATCAACTGCAAGGGTGGTATATATTAGAGTTGAGTTTACAGAAAACAAAGTTGATTTTGAGTGGCTTCAATCCAATCCGCTGAGACTGCCAGTTCGCCCTTGTATATTCTTTTTTAAAAGAGTCACTTTACCTAAGTTACTAACGTCTCCGTGCACGTAACCGAGGCCATGGCCCGTGGAATTCCGTTGGACCAATGCTGGCCGTTTCAGGCGACATGGATGGGTGGGCAGACACTGTGACTTGGATGATTGCGTGTCATCGACCTTCGACGGCGTGGGACTTGGCTCATAATATCAATCACTGGATTGTCTGGTCCAGACACCATTGTTTACAGGACGCCACCATATACCTGGAATATTGTCCAAATGTCAAGCATCCGCCGTAGAATGTCTGTCTGTGGGTCCACAACAACGTTATTGAGGTACAGTTACAAGGTGTTGCTCTGACTCTCAGGTTCCGATCTCATTAACTTAGCTGACATTCCTGACCATGGTCCTAATAAGGTTATAACTCCAGATCCCCCATGTCATCAATGCAGTGGCCATCAGGACATCTCCTTATTAGTCATTGAATACACAAAGAAAAACGTTGAGCACACCCCTATTTCTGAACCATGACAAATGGCAAAAATCATGGCATGGGATGACTGACCACAAGAACTGGGCGATACCAATGTCATCGGATAGAACAAACATCTGACAACAAATAAAGAAGATATTGGCGAGTTGTGATTGAAATTTACTGACAAAAACATCATGGTAACACAGGCACTGCTTTTGACCTTAGACAATACCTAAAAAAAGTATGGAGCTGCAGGAATAAGTAAACGAGTTACGTTTGATGTTTCACGTGAAAATGTTTCTTAAAGTCTGTACTTGACATGACACATGAAACAGATCAGTAGCGGGTATAACCGCCACGTGCCCGGATGACGCATTCCATCCTACATCTCATGCCTCCAGTCAGACGTTGGATCTGTTGATGGGTCAACAACAACCACTCCTCATGCAATGCTGCTTCCAATTGGCGTAAATCTTGTACAGGAGCATCTCGTGTTTGTATGCGCCGCCCCAGAGAAAATCCCAAACATGTTCAAGGGGGTTCAAATCTGGGCCCATTGCTGGCCAGGGTAGAGTCGTTATTGCATTGGCCCTCATGTAATTTGTCAAAATGAGGAACGACGACTGGCCTCAAAACGTCCCTGATGTACTGATCCCCATGTAATTTGTCAAAATGAGGAACGACGACTGGCCTCAAAACGTCCCTGATGTACTGATCCCCTGTAATCATGAGAGATACACCCCCAAACCATTACCGAGCCCCCGCCGTATGCAACAGTCGGTTTAATGTTCCTGGGGGTGTAGGCCGTGTTCCGGTGCCTCGAAACTCTCGTTCTTCCACCAGTGACGTGGCGCAGAAAGCGACTTTCGTCTGACCAATGATCTCAGATTCCAGTTCTGTCGCGCAATACACCATGCTAAACGAGTAGTTTTGTGTCGATCTCTCAACAAGGGACGCTTTATGACTCGTCTAGCCCGCAGTCCTGCTGCTTTCAGCCGGTTTCTGACGGTTCTGGTGCTGAAACGACGATTGGGCAACCACAACTGTTTCAGACGAGTACTTGTTAAAAAGGGTTCTCGGCGTATGAGACGAAGAAGGTCCCTGTCTTCGCGATGTGCCGTCACAGGAGGTTTTCTGGATCTTCCTGTACATCACAGATCTGAGCATGTTTCTCGACTAAACCGTTTACGACAGTGTGATGATACCCCAAATTCTGACCAATGTCATTACAAGACATTCCTGCGTTATGCATGCCGATTATTTGCCATCTTGTTGCGTTTGATAATCGCCTTCGTGCCATGGTCACTCAATGTCATGGAATAACTGTTTAAAACCGAGCTTAAGAAAGCAATTTTAACGTTTAGATATATACTGCTATTAGAGATACTTGAGGGTAGCATGCTGCACGGGCATACCATGCATGGTACATGAGCTTTCGTCACGCATGACTGATTACAACATCTCGAGAAAACATATTTCTTCCCGTAATTATATCTTTCATGACTGTTACAAATATTGGGACCAAACAAATATAAAATATATTAGGGTGTGCTTAACCTTTTTCTTTGTGTATAGATCAAAGAATATCTCGACTTCATTCACTCCCTATTCGGACAGTCGTCCGGAGTTCTAAGAATATCCCGACTTCCCTCACCCCCTTTTTGGACATCCCTCCGTGGCCAACATGTATGTTCTAGCCAGGTCAAAGGTGTGTCCACCATCAGGGGGATGCTGGGGGTGAGGATACAGGGCCCGTCCTGCAAATCTGCCTCTGATACAAGGCCCTGTGAGTTCGTAAAGTTCGGAGTTGTCTGTAATAGCCATATTGGTACAACGGGGGATTGCTCAATTATGTTACTGCTGTATAGCGGGGATGTCATTTCTATATATCTACAACTATAGCGTGACAGGGAGAAGCCCAATATCATATGTATAAATCATGATTGCGTATTACACCGTCATTATATGGTTACGGAGACATAATCAATATCATCACACTGCGGGTCAGTCCTTTCCTTCCAGTCACCTACGTGTTTAAATATATCTAGCAATTAATCATCCGGCTATTTTCAAAAGCTTTTATAGCGAAAATTAACTTTATCAGCACACATTTATCAAACCTACTGTGATGTTAACATGGGCGTCATAGATTTCAGTGTGGTGAAACTGACTTATGGTGGGATTGATACAGAATAACAAGCTTAGTTTTTAACGGTATCCAGTTTTCGTGACCGGTTTGTTTATGAGCGTGTAATTCTCTGCACAATTGGTATTGGCATGGCGGGGAATTATAACGATTGCTCTCCAACTAATGTGCCACAAATGTCCTCGACTTCTCATTCTCAGGAGTTCTCGTTCCCAGGAGTTCTCATTCCCAGGAGTTCTGGTTCCCAGGAGTTCTCATTCCCAGGAGTCCTCATTCCCAGGAGTTCTCATTCCCTGGAGTTCTCGTTCCGAGGAGTTCTCATTCCCAGGAGTTCTCATTCCCTGGAGTTCTCGTTCCCAGGAGTTCTCATTCCCAGGAGTCCCCATTCCCAGGAGTTCTCATTCCCAGGAGTTCTCATTTTCAGGAGTTCTCGTTCCGAGGAGTTCTCGTTCCCAGGAGTTCTCATTCCCAGGAGTTCTCATTCCGAGGAGTTCTCATTCCCAGGAGTTCTCATTCCGAGGAGTTCTCATTCCCAGGAGTTCTCGTTCCCAGGAGTTCTCATTCCCAGGAGTTCTCATTCTCAGGAGTTCTCATTCCCAGGAGTTCTCGTTCCCAGGAGTATTCATTCCGAGGAGTTCTCATTCCGAGGAGTTCTCATTCCCAGGAGTTCTCATTCCCAGGAGTTCTCATTCCCAAGGATTCTCATTCTCAGGAGTTCTCGTTCCGATGAGTTCTCATTCTCAGGAGTTCTCATTCCCAGGAGTTCTCATTCCCAGGAGTTCTCATTCCCAAGAGTCCTCATTCTCAGGAGTTCTCATTCCCAGGAGTTTTCATTCCCAGGAGTTCTCATTCCCAGGCATTCTTATTCTCAGGAGTTCTCATTCCCAGGCATTCTAATTCTCAGGAGTTCTCATTCACATGATCACCCTCACCCTCACATGCCACCCTCACTATCTTTCTGTCTGTTTATTCTCCTTGGGGTATGGTGGCACTGACGCCTAAGGCGCCACAATTGGCTGTGCAGAGTTACGTCCCTTATGCGTGCCATGATCCTATAATAATGAGTTTGAATCCCAGATTGGACTATGTCGATTATGTTCCTAAGTTCGTCAGCAGAAGCCCTTGTTTGTGGTGTTCGCCAAAGTGGTACGCGTCTGTGACGACTCAACCACTCATCCACTCACTTACTCACCCAAACACCCACTCACTGACTCTCTCTCTCTCTCCACCCGTGAAGATCCGGGTTAGAATAGGTCTTCAGCAACTAGATTGTCTGATCCAGACTCGAATATGTACAGACCGCTATCATATAGCTGGAATATTGCTGAGTGTTGCGTTAAACATAAAACAAACAAAAATCTCTCTCTCTCTCTCTCTCTCTCTCTCTCTCTCTCTCTCTCTCTCTCTCTCTCTCTCTCTCTCTCATTCTCCCTCCCTCTCTCTCTCTCTCTCTCTCTCTCTCTCTCTCTCTCTCTCTCAGGTCAATGGCATTGGAAGGAGAATGCCAAGAGGTCTAAAGCTGTGCAAAGTTGGGTCCGACTT